GGGCGGGAGCCTGATACTCTGCTTTTACTGAGCAGCTTCTCCACACTCCAGGCGCTGGGCTACAGAAGCTACTCACACCCAGTAGCTCATTTACTCAGTCAAGTATTTATCGTGCATCTATTGTGTGCCAGGAACCAGCAGTGAAGACAAAGTCTGTGCTCTCGGGAAGCTGATATTCTTGTGGCAGGCAGAGCGGCAGACAATTAACAAGATATAACATCTCAGGTGTTTTAAAAAATAATAATAAAAATAAGGTACTGGCCAGGTGCAGTGGCTCACACCTGTAATCATAGCACTCTGGGAGGCCAAGGCTGGTGGCAGGAGTTCAAGACCAGCCTGGCCAAGATAGTAAAACCCCATCTCTACTTAAAATACAAAATTAGCCAGGCGTGGTGGCGGGCACCTGTAATCCCAGCTACTTGGGAGGCTGAGGTAGGAGAATCGCTTGAACCCAGGAGGCGGAGGTTGCAGTGAGCCGAGATGGCGCCCATGTATCCAGCCTGGGCAACAGATCAAGACTCCATCTCAAAAAAATAACAAAAATATAAGGTCAGAAGAGGAAAAACAGAATGAGGGGTTCTATTTTTAAAGGGATGGCCAGGCGAAGAGCTGAAAGGGGGATATTTGGCAAATATTTGGGACATTTCAGAGAGCTAAGAGGGGGTTATCTGGGCAAAGGCCTGGAGGAAGTGAGGGAGGAAATCATGGGTCTAGGGGAGGGGTGTTCCAGGTGGAGGGAACAGCCACGCAGAGGCTTGGAGAAGAGACCTGTCGGTGTGGCTGAGAAGTAACGAGGAAGCCGGTGTGGCAGGGGCAGCGTGAGCTAGAGGAGCATGGGAGGAGGGGAGCTAGAGAGGAAATAAGTGCAGGTCACTGTCAGGACCTTGGCTTTGACCCTGAGTAAGAGGGAGCTCTTGGAAGGGTTTCTGAGCAAAGGAGAGTTGTGGGCTGACATATTTTTATATATTCCATAAAATATTTTTCATATAGTTTATTAAAAATATATATTGCAATATATTTCATTTTATATATTTCATATATAATTTTTTTTTTTTTGGTACAGACAGAATCTCATTTAGTGGTGCCATCATGGCTCACTGTAGCATCGACCTCCTGAGCTCAAGCGATCCTTCCACCTCAGCCTCCCGAGTAGCTTATAGACCCCTCCTGGGTCCATAAGCACACGCCACCACACATTCCCAGCTAATTTTTCTTCTTTTTTTGTTTGTTTGTTTGTTTGTTTTTTAACTTAGAAGCCCAAACCTCACCACAAGTTTTCTGTTTTTTGTACAGATGGGGATTTGCCATGTGGCCCAGGCTGGTCTCAAACTCCTGGCCTCAAGCAATCCTCAGGTCTCAGCTTCCCAAAGTGCTGGGATTACAGGCGTGAGCCATTGCACCTGGCCTGAGATATTTTTAAACCCACACCGCTGGGTTCGGAATAGACAGGAGTAGGCCAGCGTACAAGTGAGGGGCAGTTAGGTGGATGCCGCAACTGTGCAGGCAAAAGCGGTGGAAGCTTGGATGAGTTTATTCTCACAGCCGCCCTGGGAGTATGTTCCAGTATTGCCTCCCCCTTACAGATGAGGAAACTGAGGCACGAGGCTACACAGCCAGAAGCAGCAAGCTCACAACATGAACCCAAGTCCCTTAACCCCAAGTCCTAGGTCCTTTTCCCTCAACCGGGGAAAGGACAATGGGGACACTCTCTTCCCCTCAAATGAGTCCCACTAAAGCCCCAAGCTCCCTCTCTATCCCACTGGCTGGCAGGACCAGGGGCCACCCTGACCTGGTCCCTTTCCTCTGCCCAGCAGCGACCAGACCTACCGTGTGGCCCTGGGAAAGCACAACCTGGAGGTGGAAGATGAGGAAGGATCTTTGTTTGTGGGTGTGGACACCATCTATGTCCACGAGAACTGGAACTACGACCTGGCAGTGTGAGTGACAAACTGCCCATCCCACAGCCTCTGGGGGCAGTGTGGAAGGAGGGGTCCCCAAGACAGAGCCGCAGAGCCTGTCGCATCCCACACCTGACACCCCATCCTCACCCTGGACAGCCAGCGAATGACTCTCTTACACAAAATGGCAAAATGCTGAGTGGAGACAAATACCCCTCGTATCCCCCTCATTGGCCAAGACTCCCAGGAAGGTCCATAGGAAGGCCCCCCCACAGTGTCTCTCCAGAGGCTGGGCCAGGGCTCACCTTTATTGAGTGCCTACTGTATGCCCACATTGCAATAGATACTTTATGTGCCATCTGTTATGTAATCCTCACAACAGCCCTGGACAAAGAACCGAGGCTCAGAGAGGTTAAGAAATGTGTGCCAGGTCACACAGCCCACTTTGTAGCAGAACCAGGAATCAAACCAGGTGTGTCTGGGGTGGCCAGCTTTTATGCCTGTAACATGAACATATTAAAACTGGCATCTGCAAGTGCCATCTTTGGCATTAGAGTTCTCAACTTGCTATAGCCTCTGTTTCAATGGACACACAGCCAGCAGTGGTTTCGAACACTTCCACCCCCACCTCCCTCTGTTAACCCTTTCCCGAGGTGATGACATGTGAGAAGAAGCCGTCAACAGGGCAGGTGATCGTGTTAGATGGTGAATCATTCGTCCCGATATCCCCGAAGGTCAAGAAGCAGCTGGCAGTCAGGAAGTTTGTGCAGGACCCCTGAGCACCCTGGGCCTGACTCCCAACTCACAGCCCGAGCCCCTTAACCTGGACTTGTGGGGCCAGGGTCCTCCTGCCCACTCACCCTCTCCACTTTGGATTCCAGCAACGACATTGCCCTCATCAAGCTTGCAGAGCACGTGGAGCTGAGTGACACCATCCAGGTGGCCTGCCTGCCAGAGAAGGACTCCCTGCTCCCCAACGACTACCCCTGCTATGTCACTGGCTGGGGCCGCCTCTGGAGTGAGTATCGTCCCTGGCAAATCCCGAGAGCCTTCCTGAAGGAAGCAGCATGCCACCCACTTTCCCTTTCTGCCTTCACATTTTCATGTCTTTGTAAACCGTGCAGCAATAACAGCTAGTATTTACTAAGCACATACCATGTGACAGACACTAACAAGAGTCTCTGAGAGATGTGGTAAGGTTTAGACGAATTAGAATTTGTCAAGTGCTCAGAACAGCACTTGGCACATAGTAAGTGTAGCATAAATAAACGAAAATAAAGCATTTAGGGGTGGGGGATGACATCTACCGTATAATATGCCCAAATAGATCCCAGAGGAACTAAAAGGTAAATGCAAATCATGAAACTGTGAGATACTTAGAAGAAAGTGCAGATCGCTATTTAGAAAAGCCTGGGGGAGAAGCCAGGTGTGGCGGCTCACACCTGTAATGCTGCATTTTAGGAAGCCGAGGAGGAACGATCGCTTGAGGCCAGGAGTTCAAGACCAGCCTGGGCAACATAGTGAGACCCTGCCTCTACAAAAAAAACCAATTTTTTAAAATAGCAGTTTATGGTGGTGTGTACCTGTAGTCCCAAACTACTCAGGAGGCTGAGGCGAGAGGATCACTTGAGCCCAGGGGTTTGAGGCTGCAGTGAGCTGTGATCTTGCCACTGCACTCCAGCCTGAGCAACAGAGTGAGACCTTGTATCAAAAAAAAAAAAAGGAGGAAAGAAAAAAAGAAAATCTTGGAGTAAGAAAGGCTTTTTAATGTGTGACAGCAAAGACACATGATTGACAACTAAACCCCCATTTTATCCAATTTAATTTCAATCCAATTTAAAGACAACTTAACACTATAGCTTCCTTCTGCCGGCAGCCTGCTCCTGGCCCGCTGGGACCTGGGCTTGCCTCTTGATGAAGGGCAGCTGTGTGGTCTGCACAGCGTCTCAGCTGGCGCTCCCCTGGGTCCCATCCCAGGCCTCTGCTCCCTGAAGGCCTGGGGAGGGGCAGGGCTGGACTGGACTGGGCTGGGCTGCCCGGCTGCCTCCCTGGTCACTGCTCACTCTCTCCCCAGCCAACGGCCCCATTGCTGATGAGCTGCAGCAGGGCCTGCAGCGTGTGGTGGATCACGCCACGTGCTCCAGGATTGACTGGTGGGGCTTCATGGTGACGGAAATCATGGTGTGTGCTGGGGGCGATGGCATCATCTCAGCCTGCAGTGTGAGTGACTAGGTTCTGCACCTTGTCCCTACTCTAAGTGGCCAAGTGGACATGGGCAAAGGGAGGTGCAATGGACTAAACCTTTCCTCTGGGAGGAGACTGAGCAAGCCCTGGCTGGGCCCAGCAGGCTCAGGGTAAGCCCATCACCGCCCCCCGCTCAGCACTGTGGTGAGAGCATGAGCATTGAGCATGAGTATCTGAGTTCAAGCCCCAGTCCCACCATTTAAGAGCTGCAGAACCTTGGGAAGGCCGTTGAACCTCTGACCTCAGTTTTTCCATCTGTAAAATGGAGTTACAGTAACCACTTCACAGGGTTAGGATTAAATGAGTTTAAAGGATGCAGAAGAGGCTTCACTGAAGTGTCTACACATGCTCCTCCATGCCATTTGCTCCACCAGTCCAGGAAGACCAGAACTACAAAACATCTAAGATAATCAGGGAATGTCCTGTTTTCACACACACAACCCTTTCCCCATTCTCGCCCTCCTTCCTCACCTTCCCAGGCCTCTGGCACAGCTGCCAGCATCCTCACTGCTCTGAGTAGCTCACAGAGTCTTAGACAAGGAGACCTGAACAGCTAGGGAAACTGAGGCACGGAGAGGAGTAACATCATCCCAAGATCACACAGCAAACCAAGAGCTAGTCCGACACCCCAGGGCCTCCTAGAACAAGGCCAAGGCAGCCTCAAACCACACTTCCTCTGCCTCCCTCACCATGGGCAGGCTGAGACCAAAACTGTCTACTAACTAAGGCTGAGAAACCAACCCACATCCCCCACCCCAACCCAGCCCTGCTTCCCAAGCCTGCCTCTCGGGGGCCTGGTGGCTGATGCCCTCCCGGTCTGGTGCAGGGGGACTCCGGTGGTCCACTGAACTGCCAGCTGGAGAACGGTTCCTGGGAGGTGTTTGGCATCGTCAGCTTTGGCTCCTCCCAGGGCTGCAACACCCGCAAGAAGCCGGTAGTCTACACCCGGGTGTCCGCCTACATCGACTGGATCAACAAGGTGGGTGCCGCCTCCACAGCTGTCCTTGCACCTGTCAGCCCCTCCCCCTCACTCGCCCACCCCCTCACTCATTCATGCATTTATTCATTCATTCATTTATTCACTTATTCATTCACTCATTCCTGCCCTTATTCACTCATTCATGCATTTAGTCACTCACTGATTTATGCATTTATTCACTCATTCTTGCATTTATTCACTCATTCATGCATTATTCATACATTCATTTATTCACTTATTCATTCATTCTTGCATTTATTCACTTAATCATGCATTTATTCACTCATTTTTGCATTTATTCACTCATTCATGCATTTAGTCACTCCTGCTGGCATTTATTCACTCATTCATGCATTCATTCACTCATTCATTCATGCATTTAGTCACTCTCTCATTTGCTCATTCAGTGATTCATTCATGCACTTATTCACACATTCACTCTCTCATTCAAGAAATATTGGTTGAGTGCTTCCAGTAGCAGGCCTTGAGTTGGGTCCCAATAAGGAAAACAGTCATCGACTCCTCCATCCATCCATCCATCCACTGCCTTCATCAAGCACTTATGTCCCCAATCCAGGCCCCACACCAGTCTCCCCCAAAACCTGACTCTCTGAGACTGTGGCCCAGCAGAGGAGAGGGATGGTGTGGATGGCCATTATCATCTTGAGAGTAGGGGAACAGAGGGTCACCCTGGGCTGGGGGCTTCCCCACTGGGGACAGGCTGTGTTCCAAGACCCCTTTGCACAATGGCCTGAAATGCTGAGGGGCTCAGACCCCTTGGACAGGGATAAGGCTGGCATGTGAAGGCTGCTGGCCATGCCCCCATGGACCCACCCTCCAGACAAAGTCTTGTGCCGCCTCAGAAGGTGGCACAGCCCTGAGTCCCTCACACTGTTCTCTGCTCCTCCAGAAAATGCAGCTGTGACCTGTTGCTGGGAGCGGCGACAGGGAGTCCCTGTAAGAGCAATAAAATTCCTTCTCCCAGGGCCGCCTGGATCCTTGATTTGCGCGGCCTCTGCTGCTTCCCAGCTCTCTGGGGCTGCCCCTTTCCACACTATGCAGCGAAAGAGAGACCCCACCCAGCCAGTTTCCCCCACCCTGCATTAGACAGGTGAGGAAACGGAGGCCCGGAGAGAGGACCAAGGAAGGAGCCTCCTGGGGCATTAATGGCAGGCAGGGGGCTGGGGGCGGAGATTTCGGGGAGTCTTGTGTGAAGCCGGAGGGGATGGGAGTTAAGGACACATCAGACACCTTCCCCACTCCATCTCACAAGCTGTGAACAGGTGAGACGCTGATGAAATCACTCGCTTCTCTGATCCTACCTCCACCGAGGGGCCTGGCAGGTCCTCACGGCCCCCAGCTACAGGTGGAAGACAGGGTCTCCCCAAGAGCAGCCTCCCCCAGGCCAGAGAGAACAAGCCACAGGAGGATGGCCAAAGCTCAGGGACAGCCACTCCTGGGGAAGGGGCTCCCCAGCCGGGACCCCCCCCAACCCACCCCGCAGCACAGACTCCTCGTCTGCTGTTGGCAGGGGCTCTCTGCTTTGAGACGTGTTTAGTGAGCCGGCCCCTGTGTCCTGCCCTGTGCTGGGCATGGTGAAGGTAAAGGAAGAGGAGGAGACCCCAGCATCACCCTCAGGAGACACACATTTGAAGAACGCAATGGTTCCTACAAAGAATCACAGTGGTCAGAGCTGGATACGCTTTCATTGCATTAGACAGGTGGGGAAACTGAGGCCCAGAGAGAGGAAGGAGTTGGGACAGCCGGCAATGCCTGATCCAGCAGAAGAGAGTTCTCCTGAGGCTGACAAGAGGCCAAGAGGAGCCCGAGATGAAACAGACCCAGTGTCCAGGGAGGGACATGCCAGCAGGATCGGACCCTGATGATGGGGGTGGCCAGGGAGGGACATGCCAGGGGGATCAGACCCTGGTGATAGGGGCCTCTGGCCTGGTGTGCTACTGGGAATGTCTTGTTCTGTGGAGGTGCCCCCAGCCCAGCCTCTGGACCCCGTGCTGGAGAGCCCTCGGCTGCAGCTGCTCAGACTGGCCCAAGAGTTCTCCTTTTTCTCCACCAGACTTTGTTCCCTGGGAGTGGGGACCATGGTGTGACTCCCACACCCCAGTGATGCCAAGGCAAGTCTCAGGAAAGACTTGACTTACTTGACAAGCAGTGGGGGCTACAGGGAGCCCAACACCACCCAGACCCAGGAATCCAGGATGGGGGACCCCAGCTGTGCAGGAGACAGACCAGTAAATAGATCATTAAATTCCCGAGTATACATTTGAAAACAGAAATATGGACCGGAAGCAAAGAAACGGGACACTTAAACTAGTGTCAGCTGGTGGGAGAAATCCAGGATGGCTTCCTGGAGGTGATGATGTGCAAGCTTGGTCTTAAAATTTGACTAGAAGGTACCCAAGTACAGAAGGCAGTCCTGTTTGCTTAATCCAAACTTCATTCCCAGTTATCCTCTTCTTCTTGAGATGGAGTCTCACTCTGATGCCCAGGCTGGAGTGCAGTGGCACGTTCTCGGCTCACTGCAACCTCCACCTCCTGGGTTCAAGCAATTCTCCTGCCTCAGCCTCCCAAGTAGCTGGGATTACAGGCACACACCACCACGCCCAGCTAATTCTTTTGGTTTTTTTTTTAAGTAGATATGGGCTTCACCATGTTGTCCAGGCTGGTCTCAAACTTCTGACCTCAGGTGATCCACCTGCCTTAGCCTCCCAAAGTGCTGGGATTACAGGCGTGAGCCACCATGCCTGACCCTTTATTTTTTTTTATAGAGATGTGGTCTGCCTATCTTGGCCAAGCTGGTCTCAAACTCCTGGGCTCAAGTGATCCTCCCAACTCAGCCTCCCAAAATGCTGGCATTATAGGCGTGAGCCATGGTGTCCAGCCTCATTTACTCTTTAATAATCTTAAAGATGGATGTTAGGAATAATAATAACTGGGTTTTAGTATCATAGTAGGCGGGTATGAAGTGCTTCCTGTGGACCAGGCTCTGTGCTAAGAGTCTGCTTATATCGTCTCTTTTAATCCTTGCCTCCATCCTGAGATGAGTTCTTTGACTTTTGATCTCCATGATGATAGATGAAGGGAACTGAGGATCTGTGGGGTTGATGGATTGCCAGGGTTTATTCCTGCCGCCAGCAAGTCGGCAGAGCTGGGGTTTCGGACCAAGTCAAATCCCTCAGCCAGTTTGATTCAACACCAACTCAAGGCCATCTTCCCAAATCAGGATGACCCTGGAACCTGCCTGATCCCCTGCACTAGATCCCACATCAGAGGCCCAGGGCACACGGGCAGATTGGCCACTCTCCCAGGAGTCTCCTGGAATGGCCCTCTCAACGGTACCTCTGGGGGTTTCACCTCCCACCCCAGCACCCTGGCCGTCGCAGGCCCCGTCTAACCTCCTCCCTTGCCCCTGAATGGACTCTTTGGGCACCCACAGCACCCGATATTGTCCCTGGGGGCGAGCCTTGCCCTGGATGGGAGCCCAGCCCCAGTAATTGACTGGCCCCTTGATTGAAAGAGCCCCGCCGTTCAATCGTGTTTGGAGCCTGCCGCCCAGCCCAGGCCCGGGGAGCTGCCAAAGCAAGAGGGGAATTCCACAGCCACCGGGTTTCCATCCAAGTTTGGACACTTATCCTGCCACTTCCTCTGAAACTGAGCTGCCCTGCCGCGAAGAAACTCATCCATTTTGAAGAATATGAAAAGCTGGGGCTGGAGAGAAGCACGTGTGACCCAGAGGCTTGACCCTGAACCCCATGACCTGCCTTGTTAGGGCTGGTGGCCCAACCGATAACAGCCTTTTTCTGACCTAATCGGACCCTGGAGGATTTGCTGACACAGGGGGGTTGTAAAGAGAAGTGCTGCTGTCAGGAGGTGTGAAGGTGATTCAATCTTGTTTTTAGTGGGTGGGCGACCTGCCCCATTTATGCCAGCTTAGCTCTGTGCTCTGAGCCTGTGCCTTGGAGTGGCCCTTGAAAACAGGAAGGGCTCAGTCTTCTCAAAACCAAAGGGGGGGTGGGCCCATGAGAGAGCCCCTTGCAGCAGGGTTCATCAGCCTCCAAGCCCACTGGCACTTCTGAGCCCAGTCATTTTTTTTTTTTTTTTGAGTGGAGTCTTGCCTTATGTCCGCCGAGCCTGGAGTGCAGTGGCACGATTTCAG